ATCCCAAACGTGATACCAAAAGCTTTGTGACAAAACTCATTCTCTCGTTGATTTCAAGCTTCTGGACAGGTCGCACTTTTAAACAACGTACTTCTCCATTCCACATGAACATGCAATAGATGGTCAAAATTTACTCGATGTGGTCCACACATCGGCCACTCATTGGCCAGCTTTCCCAAATGCAAGTTTCTGGCCAATGAAATTTCGTTCTCAGTGGATTAATGTGCGCAGCTGTGCCAATATATATATACAAACGCATCTGAACAGCTTTCTCACATTTTTTTTTTAAATTCAGCAAATCAATGTGAGAACGTTCATCATTTTTTTCCCTATCCAGTGACAAATAGAACATGAATTACGGAGGAAAAGGCAATGCTCCTGATGAATGGCCATGCAAATATCTCCAGATCTCCCTAGGAACAAACGCTGCTGCCCTCTAACAAATTGAGCAAGAAGCCAGCATCATGAGCTTTCGTAATCGCCCTCGGCTCCAGAATCGGACATCGCGTTTTCAGTATCGTTCAGTTCAAAATTTTACTGCATATTCGTGTGGAATGGAGAAGTAGAGATCAAACTTGTTTCCCTTTGAATCAATATCCAGCACTTGAAAGCGTGTATCAGTAAGAACTCGACGTCCGCGTACATCCCAGTTCACGCTGCATCAAATCGTTCATATATTTGGCCTTATCACCGCGCAGGTTTAATTCCTTTTCCTGCTGTAGTCCTCCTGGCAAAACTGAAACTTTTAAAGCAATAAAGCAATATTAAAAAAAAGCAATTTTGCAAAATCAGATAAGAGAGTACTTGTCCGGTTCGGAAAAGAAATACCAATTAGGTTATTTAAAAAAAACTACTTAATTTATATTGGACAAAACAATTAATGGTCTGAGTGCGGGACACTCGGCAAATTGGAGCTCCAACTCCCGTAAAAGAAGGCTGCCATTTCACGATGGGCCGGAAGAAGGCCACGAAGGACGTCCCAGAAGCCACGCGCGAGTCCATTGCGCTGTTCCTCGCTGAGCGTTTTTGTAATGGACGGCTAAAGCGTGGAGCAGCCGTGGCTGCTGCAGCCAAGTGTGGGTGTTGCCGGTAGCGGGCTCTAATTATATTCAAGGAGAAGTACAACAGCCAGTCTAAGGCAAGGCGTGGTCGACCGCCTTCCAGCACCATCTCCACCATCGTGGCTGAGTGCCTTGCACGCATCTCGGCCACTCTCGACCGTACGCGCCAAACGCTGAGGGCTTTAGCCCACGAACCGAAACTTACCCTGCTTTGTTACATCAAGGAGCACCTCGTTAAGTGCGTTACTGTTCGCGTCAAGTCGACGCTGTCCGATGATCACAAGAGAAGACGCTTGGCGTACGAACTGGCACATGTCAAACGACCTATAGGTAAAACTACGCATGATAATATGCTTTTTTAATATTAATACTGTTTTGTTCTCATATGCAGGCGGGAGATCATACCAATTGCATCATATGGATGACTATGTTCATTTTCATGATAAGTGGTTTAATATGTACAAGGCCAAAATCACATTCTATTTGACTGTGAACGAGACTGCTCCCTACACTTCCTCACCTAACAAGCGCTACATCGGAAAGGTAATGCTTTTGGCCGCTGTGGCCCGACTGCTCTACGACAGTCACCGAAAGTGCGGTTTTAATGGGAAATTGGTATCCGGCAGATAGTTGAGAAATCTGTGGCGCTACGGACGTCTATCAATTGACCCAAAGGCGCAATCATCACGAAGTATGTCAACATGATCCGTCCGGTGTATATCAAGATGCTCAATGAGAAGGTTTTACCAGCAATTCGATCGATATGGATGAATATGTTAGATTATCGTACCATACTTGAACTTTATATGGTGAAAATTTGCCAATTAACTACCATCATTTAATTTTAGCCAATCACAGCTAACAACAATTGTATATTTAGCCAATAGGACAATGTCGGCCCACCTAAACCACCCAATCGGACGTATCAGGTCCGATGAACTCCTAAAATATGTGTGTGTTCATTCAATTGTCAAGTGTTAGGCATATCACTTTCATAATTTCTCTTTATCGGACCATCACGATGGGTTTGGAGGAGTTGCAGCCCGGCAACACATTGCGTGCCAAGGCAACTGCTGTCGCAGCATTCTCCAA